AGTACCGTCAGTCATTTTCTTATAGTATTACATTGGATGTTCAAGGTCCATTATATGAGCAAGAACATGTGATACTTGGATCTTTGTTTCTGTGAGAGGTCACTCTAGTTCCATCCAGGTTGCTGCGAAGTTCATGATTTTGTTCTTTTTTATGGCTGCATAGTATTCCATCGTGTATATGTACCACATTTTTTTAATCCAGTCCTCTTTTGATGGACAGCATGGTTGGTTGCAGGTTCTTGCTATTGTGAACAATGCTGCGATAAACATTCGTGTGCAGGTATCTTTTTTTATAGAGTGATTTGAGTTCTTCAGGGTATATTCCCAGTAGGGGGATTGCAGGGTCATATGGGAGGTTAATGTTTAGGGCTCTTAGGAAATTTTAAAAAAGAATAAATGTTTCTTGATAGGTAGAAAACCTGAGGAACCAAATAGATGACATTCCTGGGAATAACTAAACTCAATTTGTAATGGAACTCTGTGCTTTAAAGTTTTATTTTCAAGATAGAAATAAAGACTACTTATTTAAAAGGAAGTTTTCACTACATATTATTCCATCTTTTATGCTTTGTGAAATTTTTTTAAAAAATTCTTTGGCAGTGACTTAGTTAAGCCTGCCCATTTTACTTGAGATACATGTTTGTCTTTCTTCTACTAAGTTATATGCTCAGCTGCTCCACTTAGTTACTTGATTTCCTAGTCATTTTCAATTCATATTGGAAGACCTATAAGAATCTACATATATCTTTCACCTGAAGTACTATATTGGTTCTTCAATCAGAAAATTGCATTGGACTCATCTATTTTGTGGATTTTTAATAACAGCTGATTTCTTTCCGCAAAGGAACGTCTTAAAGGGATGCTAGTACCATTCAGCTGACATGCAACTAGCGAGTGTATACTAATTTTTATACCGTCTAAAGATATGACGAGGCAAAAATACTATAAGTATTTTATTTCATAAAGTAAAATATAAATATTATTTGGGTATTGCTATTTTTTATGCTTTCTTTTACTTCCTTTATTCATGTAGGTTAATCAACTGTTATCTATGAAACAAGGATAAACTGAAATGAATAACAACTTGCCATACACTAAAGCCTTAATTGATGTTATAATTCATATTGATACATTATTAATTGAAATAACCGATAACATTCTTCAAGAAAGCCAAAATGACTGACTGCACTATATTTGGGTTAAATAGGGCTATAATATATAGGAGTCGATAAACTTAGAGTTCATCCATAGTGGTTCACAAAACTAGCACACTAAAATCCACTAAAGAGCTTTAAAACTCACCCATGTTGGCCTTCACCCCCAAAGATTCTAATTCAGTAGACCTGATGGTGAGACCAACATATTTAAAAGTTTCCCAAGTAGATCTAAACATGCAACTGGAGTTGAGAACCATCGTTTATGGAAAATGCAATGGAAAAAGTTTTCCTCACACTCAGAAAGTCCTTTTAGACTGTTGACGAAGTCTAGCTTTCATTTCAATCCAATGTAATACATGGTAATAAAGAACTACCTCTTTCCATTAGGGAGGCATACTATCAAAACTAAATTAAGATTGAAACCTGCTTGGTTAAATAGAGCAAATCAGGGCTAGGAAAGTACCTTTAATTACAGCTTTAACCCAGTCATCCAAGGACTCCTCTGGGCTCAGGTGCCTGCACATTTTTATTCTGTAAGTCTGGGATGAGGCCTGAGATTCTGCATTTCTAGCGAGACCCCTGGGGATGCTGATTCTACTGATCCTTAGACCACACTTTGAGTCACAAGAGCTTAGCACCCCCTCCCCCACTAGCTGTCTTTTTCCATAGATCAATGGTTCTTCATCTTAACTACATATTGGAATCGCCTGAGATGGTTTTAAAAGTC